TTTAGGGTTTAGGGTTACGGGTTTAGGGTTTACGGGGTTTAGGGTTTACGGGTTTAGGGTTTTGGGGTTTAGGGTTTGGGGTTTAGGTTTAGGGTTTCGGGTTTTTGGGGTTTCGGGGTTTCGGGTTTCGGGTTTAGGGTTTAGGGTTTTAGGGTTTAGGGTTAGGGGTTTAGGGTTTAGGTTTAGGGTTTTTTTAGGGTTTAGGGTTTAGGGTTTGAGGTTTTAGGTTTAGGTTTAGGGTTTAGGGTTTAGGGTTAAGGGTTAGGGTTTTAGGGTTTAGGTTTAGGGTTTAGGGTTAAGGGTTTAGGGTTTAGGGTTTAGGGTTTAGGGTTTTAGGGTTTAGGGTTTAGGGTTTAGGGTTTAGGGTTTAGGAGGAGGCGGTTATTTCTTTTTAGAGAGAGAAGGTCTGACTTCTCTCTAGAATTGTCTCTTTCTTTTTCAGATCTTCTCCATTTCTAGCTGAATTTTCATTATTGTTTGTGATTTTATTGAAATTCCTACTGTTTTGATTGTCATAGCATGAAATCTGGCCATGAAATTCATCAGATTCCCCCAAAACCGCCTGACATTACCAAAAATTTCGCCTCCTTGTTCAAGAAAACTACATCTGTAGAAAACTTTCTAACAATTCCTGCTGCTTCAGAGATCAATTCCTTAACACTTGTTGATCCTTTGGGATGTAATAACACCGTAACTATGCCTCTCGTGACTCAGCTGAATCGAAATTCACCGACTGTTCAAATTGCCTCTGTTCTCCCTTCGGCTGTGTTATCTTCAACAAATAATCAATGTTCGTCATCTGGATTAGGAATGCACATTCCTTCTGATTCTTCGAATGTTCTAAATGTTCAAGGAGTTAATCTGCATTCTCATTCTGTTTTGATTCCTCCACCTAATTCATCTCCTCAAGATCCTTCGACTGACCGACTTCTGCCAAAAACTCAGATCCAGATTCCTGGAAGAGATTCTCAAGTTCCTCTTGTTACAACGAATGCTCAAAATCCTTCTACTACTCAAATTCCTTCATCTCCAATTCTATTTGGTTCCTTGAATGCTGTAAATCCTCTGAAGCCTACTAAAAGAGTTGTGTTTAATAAAGGGGAACCTGGTATGTATTGGTCCCCTGTTGAAACTATGGAGCTTTCCAAAGGTTTTAATCAGACTCTTATTGGCAAATGTGCCTATGGTAGACCCTCCCTGGGTGTGGTAAAAGAGTTTATTAATTCTAGATGGTTATTGAAGGGGGATTTTTCTGTAGGAGTGCTTGATCCGAGGCATGTACTGATTAGATTTTCTTTGTATGAGGATTATGTGAAAGTATGGCTAAAAGATAATACATACATTGAGGGTTACCTCTTTCGTTTCTTCAAATGGTTTCCAGAATTCTATCCTGGGATTGAGCCTCCTGTTGTACCAGTATGGATATCTTTGCCAGGTCTTCCAATACATCTGTTTAATAGAGAGAGTCTGAGGGACATATTGAGTCCAGTTGGTAGAATTTTGGTGATAGACAATGCTACTCTAAATCTCTCTAGGCCTGGTGTAGCCAGGGCTTGTGTGGAAATGAATCTTCTGGCCAGTAATCCTAGGAGATTCTGGTTAGACATGGGGGGAGTGAGTGGTCGTTGGCAGAGGATAGTATATGAAAAGGAGTATAAATATTGTCCTGCTTGTCTTAAGCAAGGGCATGATGAAATATTGTGCAGAAGAAAGAAGAAAGTGGAAGGTGATGCCTCTGAGAATAAACAGTCAACTGAACATGTTCTTAACAAGGATGAGGAATGGAGGAAAAAGAAAGGAAAAGCTATTGTTATAGATGGACTGAGTGTGCATCCCAGAAAGGAATATAGACAGAAATCCATGAATCAAACTACTGCTGTGGAGAATAGCTTTGCTGTACTGAATGAGGAGGTTGGCATGGAGGAAATGGATAATGGCAGGAATTTACCTGTACATTTACCTGAAAGTTTACCTGGAAAGGTTATTGAAAATGGCTTAGCTTCTGTTATTATGGTGAATATTGATAATGCTGCAAATTCAAATAATACAACTGTTGATGTTGAGGTGGGAAATGCAAGGGTGATTGGAATGGAGGACATGGAAAATGGTAGGAATATGGCTGTATTGGGCAGACATTCAGTGCTGATAAGAGTACTGATATTGGAGCATCTGCTGCTGATAAACTGATTACTGATCCAGTTCCACAGGAGATGATCAATGTGTGTAATATAGCAAATGCTGCTTTGATTAATGATGTTGTGGGAGTTGAGGTTGGGTCTCTTGATATTTCCCCAATGGTTGTGGATTGTGGAACTCAAGAGGGTGATGGTACTGATAATGTTGACATCAGTTTGGAACCTCCTAATCATGAAGGTACTAATTTGGTGATTTCTTACTCTTCATCTCCTATCTTTTTGCCTGCTGCTAATGAGGTGGTTACTGTGGGGGATATTGAAGGAAACAAGGGTAAATCAGGGGGAAATCTAGTTCCTCTTAATCAGGGTATGGCTGATATCAATCTAATGGAAGTTCTTGGAGAGTGTAAAACTCTTTATGCTCAATCCTTGGGTTCTTCCTTTTTAGTTGAACATGGAATGACAGTTAGAAGAGGGAGCCAGAAGTCTTTAGATGATCAGAATGGTTTGGTTAGAGTAAGAGAACCTCCAGATAAAGGTTACTACTCTGATCAGGCCAGTTCTAGAACTCAGAAGGTGGTAAATGTTGATTCTGATAATTCTGGTAGTTCTTTGGATGGAAATGAGGATGATAATGGATTTAGTTCCAGTGATGTCCATTCTTCTATGAATTTATGATTAATTTTCTATCATGGAACATGAGAGGGGCAGGTAAAGATGCTAAGAGGAGGAGATTAAAGAAACTCATTAAATTGCATGATGTTTCTCTTGTTGCAATTCAAGAGCCTAAACTGTTGGTGTCCAAACTGGTTCCTTTTGCTAGGAGCATTGGACTAGAGCATTTCTGCTCTAATGCTTTAGCAGAAAGGAATATTTGGGTATTATGGGATGAGAGAATCAAATTGAAGGTAATGTTTGAGCATGGCCAAGTATTGACTGTGGAAATTACATTTAAGAATTCACTGGTTTTTTGGGTCTCCATTGTATATGCTAGCTGTGACCTTTTAATGAGAAGGCTTTTATGGGAACACCTGTTGGATATTGATGTCCCTTCTGATGTCCCTTGGATGGTTGTGGGTGATTTTAATACAATTTTATCCTCTGCTGAAAGACTAGGAGGAGCCTCTCCTTCTCTTTTATCTATGGAGGAATTTGGTGACTTTTTGGATCACAGGGGTCTATTGGATGCTGGATTTACTGGGAATAAATTTACCTGGTGTGATAATAGAAATGGGGGTTTCAGAATGAAACAGAGGCTGGATAGAGCTCTGATTAATCCTTGCTGGAATCTGAGATTTGAAAATCTGGAAGTGGCTCACTTAGCAAGAGGTAACTCTGATCATAGCCCTTTATTGTTGAAAATTATGGATACTTCTGTCTAGAAGAGAATTTCCTATTTTAAATTTCAAGATATGTGGTGTGATCATGAGAATTTTCTGGCTCTGATAGCTTCTAACTGGAATGGTCATTATTCAGATAATCCAATGGCCAATTTTTTCATTAAGATGAAATATCTAAAGGCTCACATGAAAATTTGGAATAAAGATGTGTTTGGAAATCTTTTTGAGAAACTGAAAATCTTTGAACAAAAAATCAGTCTGATTGAGCAGGAGTTAGATCAAAACTTCTCTAATTCAAAAAACATTGAATTAGAGGATGCTAAAGGTGAGATGGATGATTGGTTAAGGAGAGAGGAAATTTATTGGAAGCAAAAGTCAAATGTTAGATGGGCTATTCAGGGGGAGAGAATACCAGATTTTATCACTCTATTGCAAAAAGCAGAATTGTCAGAAATGAGATTTCTAGAATCAAAAATAAAGATGGAGTCTGGGTGTATGGGGATAAACAAGTAGCTATGGTTGCTGAGGAGTTTTATGCTGATCTATATAAATCTGAGAGGCATATCATCATTGATGACATCTTTGATGTTATACCTAAGATTGTTAGTCAGGAGGATAATGAGAAATTGACTGCTGAAGCCACTTTAGAGGAATTGAAAGAGGTTGTTTTTTCAATGGCAATAGAAAGTGCTCCAGGGCCGGATGGTATGTCTGGTAAGTTTTATCAGTTTGCCTGGGATGTTATTAAAGTAGATTTGGGGGAAGCTATTAATTTTCTGCTTAAAGGAGGTATCATGCCAAAATCTGTAAATTCTACTTTATTAGTATTGATTCCCAAGAAAGAGGATCCATCTTCATTTTCTGACTTCAGGCCCATAAGTTTATGCAATTTCTTATACAAGATCTTTACAAAACTTCTGAACACAAGACTGTCCTCATTACTTCCTACTTTAATTTCTGAAGAGCAACATGGCTTTGTCAAAGGGAGAGGAATTGGGGATTGTGTGGCTTTGGGGCAGATGCTTGTGGGTGAGTTAGATAGAAAGGTTGAATTTGGAAATATGGTTATGAAATTGGATATGATGAAAGCATATGATAGAATGGAATGGGACTTCTTGGGAAAGGTTCTGTCTGCTTTTGGTTTTTCTGACTTGTTCAATCAAATCATTTTGAACTGTTTGAAGAGCCAGTTCTTTACTATATGTTTAAATGGCCAAAGATATGGTTACTTTGCTAATTCAAGGGGTTTAAGGCAGGGAGACCCTCTCTCTCCTTCATTGTTTATCTTGGCTGAAGAGGTGCTAAGTAGAGGACTGAGGAACATTTATACTCAGAATTTGGTAAAACACTTTCATATTGGAAGAGGAACAATTCTTGTTAGCCATTTGTTATTTGCTGATGATACTCTGATTTTTCTGAGGGGAAACAAAAGTTCTGTGCTGAATGTGTTGAAATTTATTTCTATATATGAAGCATGCTCTGGTCAGAAGGTTAATAAGCTGAAAAGTGCTATGTACTGCTCTAA